TAGGTGGTAAACGCTGTCAAGTTACTTGACTCAGGAGTAAACTACTAGGTAGTGGGCATTTGTCTTCTCTTTGTGACGGGTTGAGAGAAAGACTGGCTTCTACAAGCTACCAGATCTAAAGACCCTCAGCTTCCAAGGACAAAGATAGAAAAGCAAAGTGAAGAAAGACAAAAAATGTCTTTGCTAGAGGAAGTGACCAATGAAACAACATTGTTGAAAAGTTGTTCTCAACGATGAGCCCTTCGTAAGCAGAGACCACACTTACCAGAGGTGGGGGTGTAGAGTTGGGTGGAAATCACATCAAAAATTTAGTTATCAAATGTATTGCTCAGAGAAGAGGAAACCTTTAGTGTGTATTCAAGCTCCCTGAAGGTTTCTATCCTATTTCCTGTCGATCATTGCTACCCTTTTCTTCTCCTTTCCATCTCCCAAATTCTATACACGTGCAGATCTTATGTATCAAGTTTGCACTCTTGAATTTTACCCGCCCTATATCCTATCTCCTTCAAAGTGTCAATGAACTACTTCATGATAAACTCATCCATTTCAAGAAAATGAAATTCAGGGCACTGTTGTTATATGTTTTAATTAGGACATTCTGGTTACAGTGCCCAAATATTAAGCCCATTAGTTCAACTCGATTGAAGACATTTCAAAATATGTAGTTCAATGGAAAGAAATATTTTTTGTACCTCATTCTCTCTGTGTGAGAATACACCTTTATGTGCTTTCCTTTGTCTCAATGTAGAATCTGTTCTCTAAGTCTCCATTGACTGGATGCTCAAGAATGTAGCACTTTCCTGCTAGAATAGTTTAGTAAGTGTATTCATTTTACCATCTATAACATGAATATTATTACCATGGTTCCTTGGACTTATATGGTAACTTTCTACTATAAAAGCTTATTTTGCTATGGGAAATTATTACAGATACTATGTAAAATGATTATCTTTCTAGTTGCTATTATTCCTTTCTTAGAAGCACAGATAGATAAGACTTTTAAGATTTAATTCTGTCCTGGAAAAATAGCTTCTTTTGGCACCCTCAGTTTTGTGATATGAACAGAGATTTTCCCTTAATTTTCCACTGCAGATTATGTAACTATCCGATTAAAAATAAATATTTTAAATCATATAGCAGATTATTGTGCTTTAATTTGTTTTGGGCCCTTTTACTGGTTACATATTTCAGTATTGAGACTTGTACAGGGATTTTATAGGTATTTACATTTTATATATATATATATATATTTAATCATGGTAGGTGTAAATTCTTTTTGTTAGTTAAAAAACCCTCACTATTACCTAAATAAACATTTTCTTTTAAAGCTCAATTTGAGTGGGAAAACAATAAACGATTCTGAAACCGGCTGGCTATCTGAGGACTTTTGTCTGAAAATTAAAGCCTATTTCCCAGTCATACATTTCCAAGTGTTTTTAAGGAGAGACAAACTCTAGTGCTGATTCATTTTTTTTGCAAGATTTTATTTAAATGTTAAAAAATTTATATTTAGAAGTGTTCAGTCTCATATTTTTGGATAGGAGAGGGACTTAGTGACTTTGCTATACAAGTAACCTTATTAATGTAGAAAAATTGGTTATTGATCTAGGGATTTTTGTTTTTCAAAATTTTCACAATCTGACCCCCGAATTCTAATTTTATTACTATTTATCGACATGGCTATGTGCCTGTAATATCAGACCATCCACATCTTTTATTTCCTCCTTTCTTTTATATAGTAAAAGGCCCCGTTTAGTCTGTGTGATGATATGATATTTAATATACATGCAAATGTTTTTGTGTCTTTTTTTCTCAGTGTTTTGGGTTTTTTTTTTGGTGAGGAAGATTAGCCCTGAGCTAACATCTGTTGCCAATCCTCCTCTTGTTGCTGAGGAAGATTGGCCCTGAGCTAACATCTGTGCCCATCTTCCTCTATTTTAAATGTGGGACGCCTCCACAGCATGGCTTGATAAGCGGTGCATAGGTCTGCCCCTGGGATCTGAACCTGTGAACCCTGGGCCGCCGAAGCGGAGCATGTGAACTTAACTGCTAACGCCACCTGGCTGACCCCATACAAATTCTTAGGGACATGGCCTCTACTGCATTTTTATTTAGGTTGGATTCTATGCTCATTCTTTTAAAATGTTTTATACAAATATTACTTTAATTCACTTGACTGCAAAGGGATATAAGTTGAAGTAAAAGCTCTAAGGTTTTTAGAATTAATTTGAGGTGTAGTTCCCATTGTTCCACATATTTCATTTATATTTTCCTGCATTGGGTAATGATACTAATCCAGAAAATAACTTTAAAATCCGTCATGCATCATTAAATTCATTTATGTTTCATTTGTGTTTAAATAAATTTAAGTAGCCTATATACTGAAGAACTTCGTACTTTTTGTGGACTGTAAAGTAATTTATATATATTTTTTAATGTTGCCTCAAGGTTGACTTTAATTTAGATACTTTGAATAAGATCACATTACGATACTTTATTGCAGGGTATTATAACATTGGTAATTATGTTTTTTTTTTTTAATTGAGAAGTAGGATCTCTTGTCCATTGATGTATTAAAACATTAGAAACTATATTAAGAACTGTATGAAACTCTTTATTATAGGAGTCCAAGTCATTAAAGTGGTGGCATTACAATGTAGTTTAATGGTAATCTAAACACATTATCTTTATCCAGCATATTTTGTTGCTGAGAAATCATTAAGACATTACATTGTTGGAATTACAGCTGCGTTGTATCGTGAGATTGAACTGGGCTTGTTTACACCACAGTACAAACGGCTTATGTCTCAGAAAGGAGAAAAAGGAACTCTGACACAAATGCTATATTTCGAAGGTTTTATATATACAGGATCATTTCTATGGGAATTATTTCAATGAATATAGCTTCTATTTCTTTAAATTTTATCTTAACTTTTTCAGATTCATCTGGTCTTTTTCACAATGCTCTCTTCTTGGTATCCCATCAAGAGGACAAGTGTTTTTTAAAAAAATGAGCACAAGGTTCATCCCGTCCATCTCATTTTTTTTCCCTTGCTTCAGCCTTGCTGAATCCTTTACTGTAATTCAGTTGTGTTAAGCATGCTCCTGGATCCTCATAAAGGATCTCAAAGCCACAAAGCCACTCTCTCTGCCTAATATGCTTTCGCTCCAGATATTTGAATGCCTTTCTTCTTCATGACTTCAGATCACTGTCCAGATGTCACCACCTTAGAGAGGACTTCCTTTGACCATCATGCCATCTCACGCTATCCCCTTACCCGGCTTCCCGATCCTTCACCGCACTTATCACTTCCTGACATTATCTGATGTGTTGTTTGTCTCCAACATTAGAATGTAATCCCCACAGGTCAAGGACTTTTTATTTACTACTGTATCCCTGACACCTAGAGCACTGTCTGGCACATGGTAGATGCTCGACGAATATGGGTTACATGGCTTTCTGTCACGAAGATTTAACAAAGAATGTTTCCACATACAGTTGTCTCTGTGACTGTTAAAAACATAGTTACTTTAATGTTCCTTTTTAAATTGCTCTATCACCTGGAATTCCTTGGCTGTGGATTTGCCCATTTGTTGCATCTCCAGGGTCTGAGTTTTAGATTTCCCTACCATGATTAAATACTGTTATTCATCTGCAACAGCTTTTACCTTGTTTTATTGACTTGAAATTGCCACACAGTTGGGTGCAAGTTCAAGTCCAGATTGCATACCAGCACACAGCACAGGATTAGAGGTCTGATTTCCCACAGGTGTTTGCACCTTCAGTCCAGGTGAGACTCTGCCCAGGCAAAGTCCTTAGGTCTGTGGCTGAGGTTTCCAGACACTCCGTTTCCAACTTCTAGCCTTATCAAAGAGCCCAGGTCTTGTACAGTAAGCACACAGGGACTGGCCTCCCCTCTCAGCCCCTGACACACTCTGACCTCTTGGCATCAATGCCCACTGCTCTGACTTGGAATCTTCACATCACTTCTGGCACCTGGAAATTTTTCTTTCTTGGTTTCTGCTTTGCTATGTATTAAAAACAAAACAAACTTCTGTTATATATTACCCTGTATTTATTTGTCTTTGAGTAAGGATAGCTTCCCACATCAGGCAGCCATATTGGCTGGTGGTACATATGGAAATTACTTGTTTTAGCGTTTTTAAAGCAATATTCCTGAAAGTGTTGATGCTCCTAAATATCCAAGGGTATTTACACCTGGGCCCTCCATAGATGAGCAGTGATAGAAATTTAGATTCTTTATATTCCAGGACTCTAGACACTCTAATGTGTTTTTTTTTTTTTTTT